CAATATCACATTAAATATTTAAAAAATAAATTAAAATAAATTATTAACTCAAAATCTTTATAAACACCTAATGTATGGAATAAAATGAATAATAATGAAGATTTAATAACTTTAGAGAAAAAAATAAATTAAAAAAAAATACAAAACAATTATAATAAATAACAGTAATTATTGATATAAACGAATAATATTTTCTATATATCCTATTAAAAGTATTTGTTTCTATGGTTTTATTGTGTTTTTTATAACGTATTTTTTAAATTATTGTTTTATATTATTGTTTTATGTATATTTTTAAATTATTTTGATGTATAGATATTAAAAATAAAATTTTAAAAATTAAAAAATATTTAATTAGATTTTTAAATAAAAATATCTTAAAAAATAATAATTAAATTTTTAAATAAAAATATCTTAAAAAATAATTGTTGCTGTAGCATCAAATACTACTATAATATAATGTAATTTTTTAAATATGGGGTTAACGGAGGGCAAACAAGCTTAAATTCTACGCTTGTAAAATTTAACTCTCTTTAACTCCTTACCCAACATGACCCTGTATGATGAAACATGTAGTAAATTGGTGAAAAGCAATTGCCGTTTCATTCAAAATAAAAACACAAATCAATTTTTAAAATCCCTAATTGTATTGATTTTAATAACCGTTTTAGAATTTACCTCGAAACACTGCGTTTTATACTTATAAACAGCAATGGTAATGGAAGCACAAATCATTTGGCATCTCATTAATCTTTATAGCAAAAAACGACAAGAAATATCATCTTCAAACAATGAAGAAGCATTAGAAGAGCACAAATTATTTTGCCATTTCTTTTGTGTGCTAGCATTTGATCGGGGCACAATGTTGTTTGGAAAAAAATTGAAATTTGATTTTTTTTTGAAATTTTTTTATATTTTGAAATTATTTTGATATGTTAATATTAAAAATAAATTTTAAAAAATAAAAAATAAATTATTTTAATATACTTAAAAAAAATACTCTGAAATAACCTAATTATCTTGTATGCTTGACTTGACCTATTTGCTATTGTTTGTTTTTTCAAGATTTTTTTTTGTTTTGTTTTCAAATACACCATCAACACCCTTGATTTATAGCAATGAAAAGGGTGTTTGTATATATGGTTAAAAGTATTTTTGTTTAAAAATATATTAAAAAATTTTATTTTAAATATTAACAAATTAAAATATTTTAAAAATATAAAAAATATAATTCCAATAAATTCCCAATCCCACAAAAAGTAGAAATGGATCATTACCAAGCCCACTACTCTTTGCCACCACCAAACCCATGATTTTCATCGCCACTGTTGTTGAAAGCACCATAGCCACTCCGACAGCACCCTGCATCATTAAAGACACCATTCTTGCCACCATCAAACCACCACCACCATCCTTCATAAACTATCTTCAAATCCACCATTACCGAATCTTCTGATATTAACTCTAGATACCAAATTCATCTCCCACTGAATTTATTTATATCTTATAAAAAGAAATTAAGTTCTTTAGGTAATTCGAAAGAAAGACAGAGAGATATAGATTTTAGAAAAATGAATGGAGGGATGAAATATAAAAAATAAGTAGAAAAATTAGGGTTGAGTTTCCAATTTCAGGAAAGTAATTCAATGGCACCTTTTTTTCTTTTTTGATAGGATGATACAAAAATAAGAGTACAATGACGTGTGAAAGTACGAGGATGAATTTGTTTTTACAGCTCAACTTGTTTTTGAAGGTTATTTTTAAGTTATTTTTGTTTAAAAAATAATTTATTTATTTATTATGTGTTTTTTAATAATTTTAAGATATTGATAAGTATACAAATAAAAAATATTATATTAATATATTTTCAATCCATAAATAAATAAATAAATAAATAAATTTATAAAAATACATTACACTACACTATCAATCACACACAGCAACCAATGTATGCATCCATTGAAGATGCTTTAGCACAATATAATTATTAATGCATATTAGAAAGCAAAAGCATATAGCTTAGATCAATGGATTTTTTGGTATTTTTTTCATGATTTTTCTATTATGAGATAATGACAGTTAGATCTTTTGAAAAATTAAATTAAAAAATAATTACTAAAACATGCAACACTCACTGGAGGCACTCGTATCCCTTAAAAGACACTTATATCCTTTAGAAAATGTGTAAAACACCTCTATACTTCCTAAAATAGTTGACACATCACATGAAAGTGCAACTAATGCAGAGGCTCGCGCAAGGCATTTCATGATACTTAGGTGGTGTTTGGGTTTTTTTCTTCTTTTTTATCTTTATCTTCCCCTAAAACGCAACACACACTAGAGGCACTCGTATCCTTTAAAAGACACTTATGTCCTTTGGAAAACGCGTATAACACCTCTATACTGCCTAAAATAGTTGACACATCACATGAAGGTGCAACTAATGCAGAGGCTCGCGTAAGGCATTTCATGATAGTTAGGTGGTGTTTGGGTTTTTTACTTCTTTTTTATCTTTATCTTCCCCTAAAAAAACATGTCGATCTAGTTAAAATTAAAGGTTGTCTTTTAATTTTTTAATTTAAATTATGGCCTTCATTTTTTTATTGTTCTTTATTCATTTTGATTATTTTTTATTAATTTTTCTCAATTCCATCTCTTATCTTTTGATTCAATTTATTTTTTATAATAAATTTGGCCCACATTCCTTTATTTTTTTAAATTAGATTTTTTTTCAATTTCATCATTTAATCTTTGATTTGTCTAAGATGGAACTTTTTTAATTTTTTTAATGAGATAATCTCAATTTAATAATCTAGGACACGATTACGGAATTTTAACTTGTATTAATATCAATTTTTATGTTTTTTTTCATCAATTTTATTTTTTAATTTCCTCATTCAATATTAAATTTATTAAAAATTAATCTTCTTTATTGTTTTTTTTACTTTGCTTTCTATGACGAAAACTTGTCCTCGCAACCCAAGCCACATATTTGTTATGCTAGCCTATATTGAATTAAGGCTCTTACATCATTTAATTTTATTTTTATATCAAATTTTTTTTTTAATTGCTTTTTTTTTTCAGCCTTTAGTGTTGGATTATTAAGGATTGAGCTTCTTTATTTTTTTTATGTAGTCATCCTTGTCTCATAATTTGGATTACGAGTATGAAATGTTAGTTCGGGTTAACACTATTCTTCTTTTTTAATAGTTTTTTAAAACCTATTTTCTTTTTTATTTTCAGCCTTGGATGTTGATTTTATTAAATATTAAATATTTTTTTCTATATGTTTTCCATGAAGATATCTCAATTTTAGAATCCTATTATAGATTTGATATACTAACTCAAATTAAATCAATATTTTTTTTTAATTGCCTTTTGTTTTCACCTTTAGCATCAAGATCTATAACTAAATTCATGACATTTTATTTTACTTCAAAACATGTTCGTCTCGCTTTAATATTATTTTTTAGATTATAAAAGAAATTATTTTGGCCTGGAGTGAAACGGGGGCACCTATCTAGTTTATATTAGATAATTACTTCAGATTTATTCAAAATTTGTTTTAACTTCATCCACAAATATTTGATTTTAATTTTTTTATGTTGAATTTGATTCCATTCTTTTCTTTGTTTTTGTTTTGTATTTTTTTCAATTTAATCCCTTAATATTTTTTTTAGTTTAAGATTTTTCTTTATTGTTTTTTCATTGTCAAGGTCACGATTTTTAAAAGTTAACACGAGTTAATTTTGATATGTTTTAAATTATTTTATAAAATTAATTAATTTTTAATTTTATCATTTAATATATATTTCTTAAATTGGTTTCTATGCTTTTCTTTTTACTTTTTTTTTATGTGGGGTTATATCAATCTTGGGTTGGCTAAAAAAAATTCATTGATTTTTTAATTATTTTTTGTTTCAACACTAAGCATTTTTTTATTGATAATTTTAATTCTTTATTTTTTAGGTTTGCCTTTTATATGGTCAGTCCTGATCTCATGACCATGTAAGTTTCAAAAGTTCATACAGGTTGACTTTGATTTTTTTTAGATTCTTTTTAAAAATTAATTATTTTTTAATTTCATTATTTAACGTATAATTTTTTAAAAATGAATCTTTGTACTTTTTTATTTCAATTTCATCTCCATGAGTCTATCTTAGTCTTGTGCCCATGATCTTCGTGGTTGCAAGACAACCCAAGTTAACCTAGAGTTTTTTTTTTTTTTTTTTCAGTTTTCTCATTCAATATTAAGTTATTTAATCTTCATGTTAGCAAGATAACCCAAGTTAATCTAGATTTTTTTTCATTATTTGTTTTTTTTTTTTAAGTTTCCTCATTCAATATTAAGTTAAGTTATTTAATCTTCATGTTAGCAAGATAACCCAAGTTAATCTAGATTTTTTTTCATTATTTGTTTTTTTTTTTTAAGTTTCCTCATTCAATATTAAGTTAAGTTATTTAATCTTCATGTTAGCAAGATAACCCAAGTTAATCTAGATTTTTTTTCATTATTTGTTTTTTTTTTTTAAGTTTCCTCATTCAATATTAAGTTATTTGATAGTTAGATTCACATTCAATATTAAGTTATTTGATAGTTAGATTCACATTCAATATTAAGTTATTTGATAGTTAGATTCAAGGTCTCTGCTATGAGATTAAATATTTTAATTAAATAATAATTTATTTAATTAGATTCGTTTATAAATATTTCAGTCTATGATTATTAATTTTTTATATCAAAAAACAAGGTGGAAAAGCCTATATTTTCATTTTTTTAAAAAAAATTATCTAATCCATAGCAAAATGCAAGTCACGTAGCTGACTATACCATATGTTAGGATGAAATATAATTACAAAATATTAATATATATTTTGAGTGAAAAATATAATAATTGTAGTAGTCTTACCAAATTTCTAATACACCAAGATCTTAAGGCAGTAGGGAAACATTCAACATCTCTATTAATATTAGTAGAGATGATATATTTAGTTTAAGATGATAAATTTATCACTCTGGTTTGTGAGCAAAAACACTTTTTTCCTTTTTTATTTTTTTATAATTGCACTTTTACACCCTAAAAAGTTGGGGTAAAGTTTGATGTTAGTAAAATTGCATAAATCTATTGTATTCTCTCTCTGGATTCATTTATCTACTAATTGGGTTGCTGTTCTTTTATGTACTCAGCATGCAGCGTTGGTTCTTTAGGTAACTTCCCGAGAATGACACTGAATTTTGATCTTCGTTATACCTTTGGGTCCCTGGCCAAATGATGAGGCGGGCTTCAAGCTGTCTGATTTTCTCTGCCGGATGCCCGTTTTTTCCTCTGTTACTTTCTCCAATAGTTTAACCTCCGAACGTATTCGTCTACTCTGCTTATCATGCATGTTTTACCGGAATGAACTTGGACGGAGTTCAAGCCGCAATTTCTAGAAGACAATTTCCCCTGCTATAACATTTATCTTGCAATAATCTAAATACTACCAAGGGCATATTATGTAATAGTCTGTTGCCTAAAATTCCTATCAGACAGATTTTTAAGTCCATGACAGCGTATATCAGGCACAGCATTTCACAAAATGAACAGACTCCCACAATTCATTTCCCATTATGAGGTTCGTTGTCTATGAAGAAGAGTTCTTCCTACATTCCCAAAAATAAGCAAAACTTTTATAATAAATAAAACTAACAGACGATTAAATGGGAAACAACAGTAAAGTCACTTTAAATGTGATGTTGGTGGAGAAAACTAAAGAACTTTCATAAAGAACCATGGAGGAAAAAAAAAGGGTAAATAAGCTTTGCCTGAGAAATCAAAACAAACAACAAAATACGACTCCTTTGAAAATTTCTGGTATTTGTAAATAATATACGATACCAGAATAATGCCTAAATTTGCATCCCTAATGTCCTTGCAAAAGCAGTTTTCTCTCCTGAAAGAAAAATTTGTAGCATAATGGCACCTACAATTCAAATTCATGATAACTTGTTAAAAGCAATGCCCAATGAGTGCAGCTAAAAATAGAAATGCTATGTGATTAAGGAGCGTGACCCAAAGAGGATTGACCTTGTAGAGAGAGCTGTCCAACCAAGAACAACTCAGGACTCAGCAAACTTCTAAGCAAACACACTGGAGTCGATTTGCTGAATATTTGGAAAAATCTGTCTCAAAAAGGCAGAGTAGCTTGTAGACTTTGCCTGCAATAAAAGAAGCAAAACTATACGTGAAAAAGCTCCACAATAACAAAGGAAACAGCAAGGAGGGAAAAGGAGATATCCAAGCAAAACCCAAAGATGAACCGTGGCTTTCCCTTTCCTTCAAGTCAAACAGCCTTGATCCCAATAAAAGATAATTCAAACAAGTTTTGGCAAGTCAAAGACAAGACTAATATGATATCTATCATAAGTCGTGATATGCACAACAATTGTCCATTTGCGTGCAAACTTTTCATCACAGTTTCTTGAAATTAATGTCTTTTATGAGAAATGAGTGGACAAATCAAGAAAATACAATAAAATCAGTTGTCATGCACTTCAGGCTCCAGAGGTTTACCAAATATCCAGTTACAGTATCAATTATGAGCAAGCACAGAAGAATATTATCTCTCTTAAGAAAAGCAGTTCATGCCAATTATTCATGGTCGTGTCTGGAAACAAAGCTATGAAGAGGATTCAATTTCAGTGTTTTCTTTTCATTTCTTTTTATGGCTCTAGAACTTGTAACACATAAATTCATGGATACAATTTGACTGAAGAGACATGATTGTGGCACCTCATTGATCTTAAAACATCTTTATAAGGAATAGGTTCAAATATAAGAAAGATAAACAATGATAAAATTTTCTATCTAATGAACATGCTAAATAAAATTGTCTGTGTGAATAGCAAAGCACTACTTATTGATAAAACTTCAATAAGATCATAGAATGGTGATAAATAATGTTGACATATTCTAATTGCTTTTTAAGGATATGAGAAAATAAGAGTGATTAAGAATACATAATATCAATTAAAAAAATAATGATTAAAACATAATAATCAATCAGTTAACTAACCTTTTTTATTTTATAATAATTAGAGAGCCGAAAATAGATAATAAAATTGAAAAAATGAGTTACCTGGAGAGCGGATAACGAGTCCCAGCGAGAGAAAGGCTCAGCAGCAGCATCGACGATGAGGTTTTGACGGAGAGAGAGCTTTTTCAGGTTCGAGAGATGAGCGATTCTAGGGTCCAAGCTCGATAGCCGATTAGCGGTCAGGTCTAACTCGGTGAGACTCGAAGATAAATCCACCGAGCTGAGATCATGAAGCTGAAAGCTGGTTAGGTCCAGGACGGTGCTTGATGGATCGATTTCGACCTCTTGATCGTCCGCCTCCGGGTTTGAGCCGTTTGGTGGTTGCGCGCCGTCCATTTGCTTCGGATGCTTTCTTGGCTAGACCGCTGAAAAGAATCCCACTCTTTATTGTTTCAGTTCTTTTGTTTTTGTGGGCGGGTAATGCAAGTTTTTTTATAAGAAATAAATATGCAAGTATTTTAATATATTTTTTTATAATAAAATTTTTAATTAAAAATTAAAAATTAAAAAAAATAAATTAAATAAATTAAAAACTATTTATACTAATAAATAATAAAAAATATTCGCGTATCCAATCCACTCATCTGCTACATATCTAATATTTTTTCTAATAAAAATAAATTAATATATAGATTTTATTAACATATTTTTATATCAAATAAAAAAATAAAACTTTGAATAAAAAAATAATATTTATATATAAAAAAATATAAAAAAAATTATATGTGTTAATAAAAACATGTGAAATTTCAAGTTTATTTTTAACATAATACAAGAATGGGATAATAATGCAACTATTTTTTTAGTATTTATATAATAATTTAAAAAAATATAAAGAGAAAAAAAATTAAAAATAATTACAAAAGCATGATTATGAGAATAAAAATAATAGTATAAGTAGGTTAAGTGTGGAGCAATAAATATTTTAAGTCTAAAAAATAAAAAAAATATTAAAAAAAAGTGAAAGGAAAAATAAAAAATATTAAAAAAAATATGATAAATGTACCAAATAAAAATATCAAATATAAAGAGAAAATATAAAAAGTTTTTTTATATAAAAAAATAAAAAATTACAAGTTTTGACCAGTAAAAAAATAGAGAAAATTTCAATTGTGCTTCTTTTATTGTAAAAGATTATTTTCTTTTAATATATGTCTTATTTTTTTTATTTTTTTTAAGATATGGATAAATTTAATGGTGTTATAAGGAACCAGACAACAAATTATCAAAAAACAAGATTATGAACTCGCTGGTTCAATACAATATCTGTGTATTTCAGCACATATTATCTCATAAAAAAAAACTGAAAAGGCACTTGAAATTAAATATTTATTTTAAACATCTAATCTATGAAAAAAGTAGAGATCCCAATAAAAGATAATTCAAACAAGTTTTGGCAAGTCAAAGACAAGACTAATATGATATCTATCATAAGTCGTGATATGCACAACAATTGTCCATTTGCGTGCAAACTTTTCATCACAGTTTCTTGAAATTAATGTCTTTTATGAGAAATGAGTGGACAAATCAAGAAAATACAATAAAATCAGTTGTCATGCACTTCAGGCTCCAGAGGTTTACCAAATATCCAGTTACAGTATCAATTATGTGCAAGCACAGAAGAATATTATCTCACTTAAGAAAAGCAGTTCATGCCAATTATTCATGGTCGTGTCTGGAAACAAAGCTACGAAGAGGTTTCAATTTCAGTGTTTTCTTTTCATTTCTTTTTATGGCTCTAGAACTTGTAACACATAAATTCATGGATACAATTTGACTGAAGAGACATGATTGTGGCACCTCATTGATCTTAAAACATCTTTATAAGGAATAGGTTCAAATATAAGAAAGATAAACAATGATAAAATTTTCTATCGAATGAACATGCTAAATAAAATTGTCTGTGTGAATAGCAAAGCACTACTTATTGATAAAACTTCAATAAGATCATAGAATGGTGATAAATAATGTTGACATATTCTAATTGCTTTTTAAGGATATGAGAAAATAAGAGTGATTAACTACTAAAAAAGTATCAACATTTTTATTCCTCAAACATGTCCATGGTCGTGGGACAATAAAACCTGTGAGCACACAGCAATTAGCGCTCCTAGAGAGCTTTCAAAAAAAATCTATTAACAGTGATTAACCAGCATATCAAGAATCCATATGATTGACATGTTATAGTATATCAGAAAAAAAAAGGTTTAAACTTACCATAGAAAATATCCAGGGAAAGATATGCCCACTATCACTAAAAATTTTAGTATGTGAGTTCTCTATCTTCACAAGTACAAGCCTTTCTTGCAACAACTATTTGAAACTTGTTGCAAAGAGTCAAGGATCTGGAAAGAAAAAGTGGGATAAAAGTGTCGGAAGTCTAACAACATGCTGTTAAGGTGAAGTGGGAAATCTAGCTGATCCAAGAAAGGGTGAATGCGAGGGAGGAGAAACACTGATACAGAGCTACGAATGAGGGGGCAGACCTATGATTCTGGATATACCTTTGAGAGCAAGAAAGGTCCGGATCTAATGCTTTCTCTATTTACTTGTGACCATCAGTAAAACTTAACAAAAAGCAAGATAGAAATATCTCTACGCATTGAATCATCAGCAATGTCATCCAATCAGCTATAGATTAGAATGCAGGCAGTGGGTCCTGAAAATGTCAGGTTTTCCAAGTTAAAGAATATCTTACACATGGATTGTTTTCAAGGTAGATAGTTGTTAGTTTCTCTCTTGAACTGACGACTGCCTCAGAAACGCCTTCAAGTGATTCTATCTGGTTGTCATTGAGCCACAGATCCTCTAACCTGTAAGCATGGCGTGAGTCAAGCAGTGAAACGAACCGGATAAGAGACAACACAATCCTGAGCAAGGAAGACTACACATACTGGGTAAGGTTCTGAATGTCATTCACTGAAGTTAGCTTGTTAGATGATACATCGAGTACGCGGAGGTTGACCAAGGTTGACAAGCCTTCCATTTTGGCAATACCATTATGGCTCAAGTACAGTTCTTCTAAAGCAACACATTCCTGAAATAACGACAAAATGGAAATAAATAATATAAGGGGGACCACATTTAGACAGCAATTTCAATGTGACAGAATACCATGAGTTTTATATATGTGCATGCGCGCGCGCGTACATATAAAGAAGAACGCCATGAGTTTGTCTCGCTATTAAAATGCAATTTCTATAAAGTACCTCAAACCCTTTCATAGAAGTTAAACGGTTGCTTTGCAAGCTAAGCTTCTTGATGCATTTCAGCCCACATAGATTAACTACTTTGATACGATTTCTTCCCAGCCACAGCTCCTGTAAATTTGTAAAATTTTGCATGTTCTCCATCACCTGCAAACAACCAAAGTAAGCAGCTCAAGATTTAGAACATCCCACGCTCCAGAAACTCCTAAAAACATAACATCCACGATCTTCCCATTTCATCTCTAAAAGTTTTCCTTTCACGTCGACACATTGTGTATCGTAAACCCAACAATTCTTAAGCTTGGATAAATTATAATATGTTCAAAAGCAAAGGAGAACTAACCCGTAATCTGTTGGAACCAAGTTCGAGAATTTGCAACTGATAAAGGTGATCAATCTCCTCTATCTTAGTAACTTCATTTTTAGATACATAAAGTTCCTTGAGGGTATTTGAGACTTTAGACAATCCATGCAATGAAGTAATTTCATTGAAAGAAACATCAAAAACCAAAAGATTCTTGAATATGCCGCTATCCGGTATTTTCTTTAGCTTATTATCCCTTAACACCAGCTCCTGCGAATACATAATATCAATTAAAAAAATAATGATTAAAACATAATAATCAATCAGTTAACTAACCTTTTTTTATTTTATAATAATTAGAGAGCCGAAAATAGA